CTAATCCCAGTTCCCGGGACGTGGCCTTGAAGACAATGTTAAGATGAAGCCACCCAGGAGTAGGGTGTCTGTTCCAGTGGCAGGGACACAATAGCACAGGGAGATGACTAGCTAGCCAGGGCCAGCAAGGGGCGAGCTGCTCCCGTGAGGCCAGGAGCGACTGTGGTGGCAATGGCCACAGCCCACGCCAAGGAGTGGTGAGCTCTCAGAACCAAAGACGTCCAAGGCTCCTACCCTCTGACTTCCCCTGAATCTGGGACAAAGACCAAAACTTTTAGTCCCCACTTTGTCATCTGGCTCCATGCAAGAATAACAAAGCAAAATGGTGAGGATTTTTCTCAAAACAACAGCAACCCAGTGAGACACAACCACTTTACCACAGTGTGTGTGCTAGCCTGGAAAGGTGGGGCTCACAGCGAGGGGAGCCAGGAGCCTGATGGGGACGTCAGAGCTGAAGACAAGCCGGCCTGGGGCAAGCAGCTTCCTCTCCACCAGCCTGTCGAGCTACAGAGCAGCTGTCGGGTATAAAGCTCTTTGGCCAATTACTGGTCTAGTGTTCTCATTGCTTAACACTTCTGACACCTGTTGGCTCAAGTTCCCTTCCCTTGCCTTGATTCCCCGCATCCACACAAAGCTGCCTGCCCTGAAGCCCTGAAGCCCAGCACCTGGCCACACCCAGCCCAAGGCCCTCAGCAGAATGTCCTTCTCAGGCGCCGGCAGGAGGATCAGACCGCTGGGCTTCCTGCAAAAGCTGGTCATGGGCAGGGGCTGGCCATGAGAGAAGAGGCAGACCAGCCCTCACACAGGCGGCTGAAGCAGGACTCCCAAGGGCAGACCAGGGCACTCACCTGCTGAGTGTGAGCACACACAACTCCAGATACAGCAAATGGGACAGGAAAGGCCCTGCTCTCCACGCAGCTGCTGCCAACCAGGCCGCCCCGAGGCACCGAGTCCCACCAGAGTGGGTCCTACAGTCCACCGTGGTCCCGGAGCTGTGGAGGATCTGCTCCAAGGAAGGTGACAGCTGCTAGGAACAGCCGGGACCAGGCCAAAGCCAGGAGCCAGGAACTCCATGCAGGCTTCATAGCTGGGTGGCAGAAGACCGTCTGCTATGAGCAGGAAGCTGGGTCGGAAGGGATGCAAGCGGGACACGAGCCATTTCTCTGACACGGGAGATGCCCAGCCACTGGGTCGCACACCGACTGCTCCATCTGCCCTTCGGGCCCTTCCTGTCTCACAGCCAACAGTCAACACAAATTTTAGCCCCCGTTTTCAAGGGAAGAAAAAGAGCTCTACAAACGTGAGAACGTAAAGCCCCTCTTGCCCAGCTTGTATGGCAGGTCAATTCCATCTGAACCTCGGAGGTCGCTCCCTAGAACTGGGATTGGCTGAAGATCCCAGGGAAGTCACCGTCAGCCAAGGTGAGGATGAAAGTCAAGTCCAACCCCAGTCCCCCTTGGCAGGTGGATGAGCTGGGACGACGGCCCGGAGCAGCACAATCTACCCGTGGCTCCTGTGACGCCCCTTGGGTGCTGTGAAAGGGAGTAAGTGATTCTCTCTGCCTGCCTGGAGAAAGTAAATCTAGCATTTTGGCCCCAACAAGCATGTCCACCATCATCTACCCCTGCGAGTGTGAGCAGAACAGGCGTGTGTCGTAAATCTGATCCTGCCACCACAGTAAAGGTGCCTTCCCTTCTTAGGGTTTGGGTGACAAGGGCTACCTGCTGGTTGTGACTAAATACTAGTCATCAGCTTTATAATTCTGTGCTTTTTTCCAAAATGGAGAGCCCTGTGATGGCAGGAAGTTAGAATTCCTAATTCAGGATGTATAGGGCAGGTGAGCATGGCTAGGGAAGTTGCAGGTGCAGCCCAGCCCACGGGAGACCCGAGGAAGATGGGATCCTGTGGATCCAGAAGGCCTCGGGCTGGGGCGGCCCTGGAAACACCACAAAAGGCCCCGTTTTTATAACTATTTTAATGCCTTTTTAAATTTACAGCTACAAGTATGTGCATTACATGTAACACATTGCTATTTGTCTACATATTATAGAGAGCTAAAATATCAACATTCTAAAGCATTTCTAAACACAGAGCAAAACCTGAGCTCCCTAGAAGGCAAACGTGCCCACCCAGGCCGTGGGGCCTCGGCCAGGGATCCCGCACTGCACCTGCTCCTCAGCTGGGTGGGATGAACCGGAAGATGGCGGTTTCTGACAATCCAGCGGTCCCCTGGGCGTGCTGGGAGGTGCAGTAGCACTCCGCAGCCGCACGGTGGCAGCTCCCGGCTGCCTGTGAGCTGAACGAAGACCTGGGAGTGCTTGTCAGAGAAGGGGCTAATGATTAAAAGGAAGACCTGGGCGACAATTCATTACCCAGACTCAACAGTCTGCCCGTGGGTGCCGAGGGCGGCCACTCCACCCTCAGGTTCTCAGTGTATCGTTTCAATGATAAATGCATTATGAGGTTCCCAAGAAAGGATTAATTGAGTTGTCCATGTCAACAAAAGTTCCTGCAAACGTCAGGCGCTTGCTGAGTTCCATTTCCAGGGCTGTCAGTCAAGACAGCTTGAACATGTGCATTCGCTGTCCTTCGGGAAGAGTGACACGTGGGAGGATGCTGCTTGTCCGGGAACTGCTGACAAGCGCCGAGAGCTTGAGAATCAAGAAACAATAAATTCATGACGTTCTGGAGAGCCACCACCAGCCAGATTGTCCAGAGTACGGCGGGTCTGATCCCGTGACCCCCGAGCCCGGCTCAGCCCCACACACAGCAACCGACAGGAAGTGCTGGCAGCTTGGCTGTGTGCACTTAATTCAGGAGCTCGGGGGGCGGCGTGGGGAGCCAGAGGGGTCCATCAAGAAAATGCTGGTAAAAAGTAACGGTGACAGGGGCCAACACTGTGGATAGCTGCCACGTCCTCTGCTAGCCACAGCACCATCCCACATGGGCAAGCAGTCCAAGTCTCTGCTGCTCTGCTTCCCGTCCGGCTCCCCGCTGAGAAATGTAGTAGAAGATGGACCAAGTGCTTGGGCCCCTGCCACCCACAAGGGAGACCCTGATGAAGCCCCTGGCTCCTTGCTTGGCCATCGTGACCACTATGGAGTGAGCCAGTGACCGGAAGAGCTGTGTGTGTGTGTGCGCACGTGTTTCTTCCAAACAATAGTCATAAATGGGGTGCGATGACAGCAGGAACTGCCTCCCCAAGCCCAGCTGGAACTCCCTATGACACTGTGCTCTCATCACACCCGTGCTCCCAGGAGGCCAGAAGAGGCAAGACACGAGGGCCTGTTCCGGAGGAAACATGGCAGCGTTTTCTGAGTCTCCTTTCTGTTCCAGCACGTGAGGATGCAGAGCCCAGGAGTGTGCAGAGCTTCCGGGGGGAACCACAGCGAGAAGGAACAGAGGTGTCCTGGGGGAACCAGAGCAGGTCCCTCCTCCCACAGGGCTTAGCCAAGAGTCCAGCTGCCCCGGGAGCAGGGACAGCTCAGCTCTCAATCAAAACATGGGGGGAAATGTGCTGCAGGTGTAAGCAAGAGACTGAGAGAGTGTGGGGGGAGACTCAGACAGGCCCAAAACATCGGGCCTGGCCCGGGTGCCACTGAGCCCAGCAGGCCTGGCCCAGGTGCCACTGAGTCAGCGGGCCACCGAGGTGGCCACTGAGCCAACATTTGGCCTGGATGTGCACGGAATCAGGACCCCTTCATGGGCACCCACTCATATGAAATTTGTTCCTAAGTAATTCTGACTCTTTAAAGTCACAGACAAGTTTAACTTCTCAGGCGGCTCAGAAACTATGCTTTTGTTTTTTGAGTAACCGTGGGGCAGGCATTTGGCCTCATGGCTGGGACACACATCCCACAGTGATCCCCGGGCCCCACCCCAGACCTGGCTGCGGATCCCAACGTCTTGCCCACACACACCCTGGGACACAGCAGGGTGCTCCAGGGACTGGCTCCCTGCCACCGCAGGGCAGGCTCCGGCCTCGCACGGGCAGGCGGGCAGCGATCGAGCTCAAGCTGCCCGGGAATGTGACCCAGAGACAGGAGTGTGCCCTCAGGGCCTCTTCTCTGTACCCCTCCGCTCTGTTTCCAAGAATCCAGAGAGTTCCAGCGAGCCCAAGACGGCCCAACACGACAACCCTCACCCACACACACACACGGGACACCTTGGGTGAAGGCACAGGGCGGCCAAAGGCAGGTCGCCAGGCCGGCAGCCGCTAGGGTCCTCGAGGACAAAGCTGGGCTGCAGGCAGACCACAAGGCGATGTGATCTCAGCAGTGCGCCTGGGGGTGGTGAGCACCCAGCCCCCTCCCTCCAACTCCAGTGTCCCCTACATGCTGCCAAAAAGCACTTTGATTCAACAGGTCTGGGGAGGTGCCCCAGCTTGAGTACCAAGCATCGCACCGTAGTGGCATAGAGGCGCCTTGCCAGGACACAGGGCTGGTCACGGCTGGCACCCCGGTAACAGAAGCCAGCAGGACACAGGCATGTGATGTGTAAACCACGCTCATGGTGACACGGGAGTCTTCAGAAACGAAGACCCCAAGACCAGGAAAGCTGCCCCTCTGCTTGCCTGGGTTAGCTGAAGGGCTGCGCAGGGTCGTGACCGGGCAGCCAGGCGTGGCCCACGGCCACGTGGCGCACGCAGCGAGCTGTGCGGGAGCCCGGGAAGCCCCCTGCCCACACTCTTCCCCCTTCCTCCCACGGCTGGAGCAGGAACCGTCCGAGATGGGGATCCGTGACCCACGGGCCACATCAGCTTTACACCCAGCTCTTACAAAGCGACGGAGGGGAGGTGGGCGTCACACCTGTGGGCTCCAAGCCCGGCTCGGAAGGAGACTGAGCACGGAGCAGCACCGGCTCAGAGACCCCCAGAACGGACTTGCTCCTAAGCCCCCCACTCCAGGATGAGCGATTCCTGCTTTGTTAAATCCTGTGATTCCAGATGTGTGGCTGGTGATGTGGGAGTGATCAGCGGGGAAAGATCCCACACACGAGACTGTGTAATAACCCGTTTAATTATTTGATGGCGAGTGAAGCTAAAGAAAGAGCACGCTTCGTGTCTGGCGTCAGCCCTGTCCTCTCCCATTCCATCAGATCTCAGCAAAAACCCTTCCGACAAGCTCACGCTGACGGCCCAAGTCACTGCTGTCTGGAAAGGCTTGGTTGCCATCTTGTGGACAACAAAATTATAACAGCCCAAAAATGCATTTTCTGTAAAAACCAGTGGTTCATTTTCAGGCCACACCAAAAACGGCTTTTAAATGCTCCCCTTCATCACCATCGCCATCACTGCTTCCACCACCGGGAGATGATATGTGGAGTACAGCACGTGGCGCAGAGGGTCCTGCACCATGCTTGGAATACGAGTGCCATCTGTAGACCAGGCAGCTTCCCGAAAGGTGAGACTCGGGCCCAAGACGCAAGCGCAGACATGAGTTCTCTCTCTCACCCGCTAGGCTTATGCTTCCTGAGTCTGCACGCCACTCGCCTGACTTTGTCTTAACACCTGCTGGGGGCCGTACGGGGGACAGCGCTGCAGCAATGCAGAGCCGCGCTCCGCAGGCGTCCTCAGAGGTACAGCTCTCTCACTTGCTCACCACACGATCCTCACACAGGTGCTGGGGCAGAATTTCATTCTGAGCAGTTCTTTGATACAACTGAAAATGAAGAGAAAATTCTAAAGAGAACTGCATAAAACAGAGCCACGGGGAAGGAGTAATTCACGGAACATGAAGTTTTATTCCACGTAAAACCAAACGGTCCCAAAGTGTCACAAAAGGAGACACGCCGTGACCTTCGCGGCCGTCCGGGTTCCCGGTCATGCACACACAGCGCTACGGGGGGTTCACGTCTACGCAACCACCCAAGTGAGCACACAGGCCTGAGGAAGTGGGCAGGGCGGAGTGCGTAAGGTGGAGGCTGCTCCTCAAGAAGGTGGAACAGCGCAAGAGCCGCTACAGGCCACGTTGCTTGTAGCTGCTGGCCACTCCAGGGCCTCCAGCCCCTCTCCCCGTCCTGTTGTCACAGGCCTCCAGCCCCTCTCCCCGTCCTGTTGTCACAGGCCTCCAGCCCCTCTCCCCGTCCTGTTGTCACAGGCCTCCAGCCCCTCTCCCCGTCCTGTTGTCACAGGCCTCCAGCCCCTCTCCAGGGTCACGCTGTCACAGGCCTCCAGCCCCTCTCCCCGTCCTGTTGTCACAGGCCTCCAGCCCCTCTCCCCGTCCTGTTGTCACAGGCCTCCAGCCCCTCTCCAGGGTCACGCTGTCACAGGCCGCCACTCCTATTGCAGCCAGGCCAGGGGCTTCAGGCCCGGACGCATTCCAAGATGCGGGGTTGTACACGGCGAAGCAGTCGCAACGCGAACGGGGACATTCCTGTCATTCAGTCCACAGTTCTCTGTGAGGCCCACTGATTCTAAGCCTGAAATATTATTTACTGTTAGAGTCTCTCTCCGTGTTCCCGCGGATTGCTTTAATTGGTTTGAATGCAAGGCTTACATAAAAACTCCTGAGATGGGGCACCCCTTGGGATCACGGCGACTTGCGTCATGCGGCTCCTGGACATGCGGGGGTTTCCCCTGAACCCCTGAAGGAGCCGATGATCCACTGGAAGACAATGAGACGTTAGCTGCAGACGGAGCGCGTGGCGGCGTGCTAGATGCGCCTAGCCGAGGTGGTACTGTGCCCACGTTAAGCCTAACTTTAAAAAAACGGAAAATTCACCCACTCTCCATACTGATTCAAATAAGCAACCAAACCCAAGACAAAAGTGTAAACCATGTTTGGCCCAAGACAAATGTAAATTTTGTCAGGCCTTTAACACTGAACATGGGAAGACTTCTCCATGAAGAGCCGTGACCCAGCAGATGAGGCTCTGTCTCCACGCTTCATCAAGGTGGTCTTCAAGCCGGACATGCAGAGACAAGGAAGCACAGCCCCTTGGCCCGGCCCCTCGAGGGTGCCTCAAAGTTCCCACATGGACACGCCACCGGGAAAGGCAACCCAGCCCAAACCCTGTAGCCTTGGTATAAATGTGTGTGTGTACCTAGCATAACACACTGGCAATCAAACTGCATGATCAGTACATAAAAATCGAGCTGACAAGGAACCTGAGGGAGGCACTCAGCTGCGGGAGCGTGCTGACTTCTGAAGCGTGTCCTCCACTCCCGCACGGCCCGAGCCAGGCGCTAAGATCCTGTGCTTACACCGAACACAGCTTCGTTTCTGACTCAAGGACCAAGTGGCTTCCTATTCACACGCTCAGTACAGTTTCACGTGCTTTTATTACGAATCCTTCATTGATTTGCAGATTCTGCAAGGTGACTTTCTTGGGGTGCCTCTGGGAAGGAGGCCTCGAACCCCAAGCCTAAGCCCCCAGAGTTTTACATCAAGAAAGTCAGCCAAGTGTTTTAACCTTGGCCTTGGGAACTGAAATGGACTTCTCCACCACGTGCGTGTATACACCACCATTTCAGAACCAGGGAGAAAGTGTCCAGCGGCAGACTCCGGATCTCTGAAGAGCAAGAGGCTCAGTCACAGAGGCCTGCTGAGAATCAGCTCCAAAGCTGAGAACCCGAGCCTACGAAGCCAAACGCCTCCTGAGAGCTCGGTCCGGAAGCAGAAGACAGCCGTGAGAAGGGCCCACTTCGAGCCCGCTGCGTTCGCTGCTCTGCAGGCCGCGTGCAGGTGCAAGCGTGGAGCTAGCCGAGGCTCTCCGGTCCACGGAGGCTGCCTGCGGGTGGTTCCTGGGCTCTTCCTCTGAGGAGCTGCTGGTCTGTGCCACTTTTTAAATTAAAGGGCTCTGATGTGCTTAAAAGTGTCAGTACAGAGACAGGCTTTCAGAAAGACAGCTCTCTCTGAAAATACACCTGCCAGAGATAGAGCTGGCGGCAGGGCGGAGTGGACAACACAGCTGACCAACTACCTGTGCGTCCCCCAGATCTGCCGAGTCACAGAGCAGCTGACTTTGGGAACAGCCCCACCGAGATGCCCGAGGCTCCACACCATTTCAAAGAGTTTTTAACCTGTGTGTGCTTTGCTTTGCTCTATTTGTTCTGAGCTTTTTCTCGCCGGACATGGTGGCATTCCCACAATTGTTTGCACTTCCATTTTTCTTGAGGTTTGCAGGTGTCTGTGACTTGGGGGTCTTACAGGGGTCTGCTGAGTCCAGAGTCGCGGCTGAGTGTCTGGGAATTCGAATGTTACCGCTGGCTTCCACCTTGGGGCTGCGCCCGCTGCGGGACGCGGCCCGGCACTGCAGCCTGGCGCTCTCGCTCGGCTCCTTACTCTTCTCTTCTGACCTGACTTGGGGCTTTTGCTTCTGAGAACATGAGCTCGAACCACGGAGCGCATCAGCAGGTCTGAGGCAAGCCTCGAACACATAACACGATGGGCGGACTTCTTCCCGGCGGAAAACTTGCTTTCGGGATGGGCCCGACTTTGAAGCCACTTCCTGGTGAAGCGGTGGCTTGGACAGTGCACTGGCCAAGAACTTGCTTCGCCCTGGGCTTTTCGGGGCCCCGGGTATGCCCAGGCCGGGGGGGAGCCTCGCTTTGGCCCCCTTGCTTTTCTCACACTGCACCGTCTGGATCTGCAGCCACTCGAGCTGAAGAAGTCTGTCCAGGTACTTGCCGAGCAGTCCTCCGACACGCGGCACCGCCTCGGCTCGGTGCTCTGCGTGCAGGAGCCAGGCCATGTGCCGCAGGTCCCAGGAGCTGTAAGGGCGCGGAAGGAAGCTGGAGTACGCGTGTTCGGGCTGCGTCTGGTCCTGCGCTAGGTGGAGATCAAAGGAATGCGGGTCAATCTCCTCAGCGCGGAGCTCGAGGAGCGGCGGTGTGAGGGGGGAGGGAGGGAAGGGGACTCTCTCGGAATCAGACAGATCACTCGCACTGTCCTCCTCCGCATCTTCCTTCTGCATCTTCACAGACTCAGGAACCAGAAATGAGGTGCTCCCGCAGGCGTCCTGACGCCCCGCACCCAGGCCGCTCCCCGAGGTGTCCTGACGCCCAGCACCCAGGCCGCTGCTCCCCGAGGCCTCCTGACGCCCAGCGCCCATGCCGCTCCACAAGGGCTCCTGACGCCCAGCACCCATGCCGCTCCCCGAGGCCTCCTGACCCTCAGCACCCAGGCCGCTGCTCCCGGAAGCCTCCTGACGCCCAGCACCCGGACCGCTCCCCAAAGGCTCCCAAGGCCCAGAACCCAGGCTGTGCCCTGACGCCTCCCGACACCCGGCACCCGGGCTGCTCCCTGAGGCCTGCCAATGCCCAGTACCCGGGCTGCTCCCCCAGGCACCCCTAGGTCCAGCACCCGGGCTGCTCCCCAAGGCCCCCTGATGCCCAGAACCCGCCAGCTTCCTCCTGGGTCTTCCTCCTCCTGGGGAAATGCTTCCTTTATCCTCGGTCGGTTGGGAGACACTGGCAGGGCTGCCCGTGGTCCAGGGATCAACGCGGGGCTCCTGGGCCTGCCTCTGCCCTCTGCCCGAAGACCTCCTGGGACGCTGCCCTGTGCTCCAGCAGGGGCCACCATTCATGCTTCTGTGGAAAATAAAGCCAGGACTCAATACAGCTGGCAAAAGAAGGCTGGGCTATGAGGAAACAGACACGGTGTGCCTTCAGCTGCACGGGGTGTCCTGGCACTGCCAGGCATCAGGCCCCGCCCCCTGAGAGAAGTGGTTTTCCATAACATTTACATAATGGTACTCTATTTAAGGAAGATTACATAATCCATGTGCCAAAGTAGATGCATGGATTCTGCTTTGCATAAATCATTAGTCTGTATGGAAAACATTACCGTCTCCCTAAGGGCTTGTTTATCACGTTAGACCAACTGCACACACTGTAAGAAAAACCTTACTTTGCTCAAAATTTGTCATACAATTTTCACAATAATCAGTGTTCCATAACATTCAGAAGGGAAACACACAGTACTGCACACCCAGTCCAGATTCAGTGTGATACAATGGAGGACGTAAGCTTGCAGAGCTCGCGCCTGAGCGGCCGTGCTTGAGCCAAGTACAGGACGGTGAGCAGACGTGACCGGCAGCTCACCCCAGAGGCCGAGCCAAACTCGTGCTTTACAGCCGGGTCGGCCGTGTCCGGCCCGTGGGACACAGAAGGCCTGGGAAACCACTTGGTCTGGCCCTGCCGAGCCACCTGCAGATCAAACCCGATGTGCCACAAGTCCACAGCGGCTTAGCTTTTACATCAATAACTTTGTACAGCCTGCAAATGAAGTTACAAATATGCAAATGGAACCTTGGAAAGGTTTCCCACACCTGCAAAAAGGACATAGAAATAAAATCTTATGGCGCCCTACGATACAAAACGAATGAAGAAACAGGGCTGAAGTCTCTCGTGTGAGTGGCGAGTATGTGTCACTTCATGGGAGTCACTCGGTAACTGCTGCCAGGCAGAACCTCGCGTGGGAGCTGTACCTACTTGTTGTTTTGTTGCTATCACATATTTAGCATGTGACTAAAGTTTATCCATTTCTACATGATAGAAGTCAGATTAAGCAGAATCGGGGACTGGCGAGCCTTCCCGCTAACAGTGTGAGCTCCACAGATGCTGGCAAAGAAACGGTCATGATGCAGGATTCATGAGTTAACTGTTAACGTGGCTGACAGCCGGCTGGTGTGCCGGCTTCCGTAAGTCGTCGTCAGCATCCCTTACGTACAGAAAGAGGCCGACGCAGCAAGGCAAATGCACACAGCTCGCCGGCATCATGGGCCTGGAGAGCCTTAACAACCAGTCACGCTTAAAATCACCTGAGCCGCTCATTTCTGATAGAGCAGTGGCTTCTTATCTCAGACATGACCTAGACCCACACTGAATCTGGACGCGTGAGACCACACGCCACAGTCACGGGAGAATGACTTACTTGCTCTCCCGGCGCCCTCCATTCACCCTATTCCTTCTCTGCTGGCCATCACGGGACTGACCATCTCCTGCAGCCCGACGGACAGTCTGCAAGACAGAGCCACAGTGACAGTTGCACGCAGGAAACAGCCACCCCGCCACAGACGGCGCCCGGCTAGTTCACGTCACCTCTGCCCCGGGGCTCACAGCACTCTTGCTCAACTTGCTGATGGATGTGACAGCCGGTGGGGGGAGGGGGTCCGTGCCCCTCTCGTGCTCTGCAGGGTCTCCTCAGCCCCGGAGCTAGAAGCGAGAGGACACGGTAAGGACACGGTGAGGACACGGAAAGCACCGGCCACGAGCGCTCCCAGCAACAGCACATGCTCTGCCTCCCACTCTGGTTTTGAACATCTGTTGGTACGACATGCCGGGCTGTCAGCACACGGCTGCTGCTGCCCGGGACTGTGGGGTGGACACGGAGGCCTTTTCTCTTATTCCTCGCGGGCTATTAGACACAAGATGGCAGCGTGGGAAGGGCTGTGACGGACTCCTTCCCTCTTCCTATGGTCTCCTTGGAAAATCCGTTCTTGAGGAATGCGAGGCCAGCTCCAAGGCCCCATCCCTTCACTCACTCACTCACACGCCCCTGTTCTCAGGGAAAGGAGACTCCAGTTTGACGGAAGCGGCCTTTCTCTTCTTCAGCTGCCCCCACTGGAATGGTCTGACATTGTGCGCCCTGAGGTCATGCTTCTGAAATCTCACGGAGCAAAGCTCCGTCCCCTGAACCCTTTTTATTTTGAGTGCCCTGTTAAAAATGTAATACTTCCCTTTGCTACAGTTGCCCTTGCCTGTCTAAAGTGGAAAAGAGACAAGACTACAGATTTTAATGTTCTTTCTGAAACGCTCAGGTTTTGTCCACCACAACCACGTAAGCCTGTGGCAGCAGCTCACCCAGGGCAGTACTAACGCCAGCCATGGGCGCTCAGAGGTCACGAGCTCCCCACGCCCACAGGCCTGGCCCTCACACCTGCCCACGGCCTCCATCGCTCTGCTTTCTCGCCACTTTGTTTCCCTGGACAGGAAAAAGCAATGTTCTCACTTCATTTCACGGACAGAACTGGGGCCCAGGCTGCCAGCCACAGGCGCGTGGGACGCACAGTTCCTGTGGGAGAGAGACCAATACCCGCAGACTCCTGGGGGTGCAGAACGCAAACTGCCCGTGGCCCTGGTGCTGCTCACACAGAATCCGGTCTCTCAGTCAGAGTCTGACTTTAACAGTGCTGCCCAGGTGCTGGTGACCCCTGATGGGCAGCCGCCTAACGCATCCCGGGTGCCCATCCTGTGCCCAGGCCTGCACTTGCAGTATCGCTCCAGGTGCACTTGGCGGGGAGCAGCCCCTTCCCAGCCCCGTGGCAATACGCAGCCCCTGGGCCTGCAAGACACAGAGGGGGTCACAGGAAGCCCTCTGCTCCTTACCGAGGCTCAGGAGGACCCCGCCGCTGCCCCTTCCCCGCCCTCAGCTCAGGTGCCGCACACCTGTGCTAGGCGCCAGGCAGGTGAGCTCTCAGAAGCAGCGGGGGAACCAGCTCCTGGCAATGTAGGTCCGGCCCTCCCCTCGCCACTTCTCCACCCACAGACACCAGGACCCGCACGCAGCGCGCACTGGCCCTTCCCTTCTCGGCGCTCACACACGCTCTAGGACCGAGGGTGCGCGAGGCGGCGCCGCCGCGCACAGCAATCGATCAGACCTGTCCGGCGACCGCCAAGGGCACGTGATGCCGCTGCTCGCTTCCTTCCTCCCCGGCGCCCGGGCGCACTGCGGCGCGCTGCGGCAGGCCGGGGAGGAGGCAGGGCCCGGAGGAGGCAGGGGCCGGAGGAGGCAAGGCCCGGAGGAGGCAGGGGCCGGAGAAGGCAGGGCCCGGAGAAGGTAGGGCCCGAGGAGGCAGGGGCCGGAGGAGGCAGGGCCGGGGAGGAGGCAGGCCAGGGAGGAGGCAGGGCCCGGAGAAGGCAGGGCCCGGAGGAGGCGGCAGGGCCGGGGAGGAGGTGGCTGGGCCCGGGAGGAGGCGGCGCGCCGCTGGCCACGGCGGCTTCCCGGCTGCGCGGGGCGGCGTCACCGGGGCGGGGCGGCGGCTCGCCGGGAAGTTGCGCGCCGCCAAGTTGCTGCCTTGTAAGTAGGGCGACCGAGACGGCCAGGGCAGGTGGGAGGGGCCGCTCGTGGAACGCCACTGCCTTCGGATGAGAAGCTCCGGGGAAGCCTGGCGGCGCCCCCCGCGCTCCCCGCTGGCCCCGGGCAGCCTCCTCCAACGGGGCCTCTCTCCGCAAACCTAGCCCTCCACCGCCACCACCTTGCTGGCTGCTAGGAGAGAAGGAGCTGGGCGTGGGCTCCAGGAAAAGGTGGGCGACGCAGGGAGGGCGGCGCCGACCCAACGGGTGCCCTGCAGGTGGCAGATCCAGCGGACCCCCAGCAGCTTCTGAGCACGATCCGGGTGCCGCGTCTCCAAGCCGCCCTTCGCTCCGCCTCCCATCTCCCGACGGCAGCCTACAACATGTCCAGAGGCCTGGACTCCGCCGTCCTACCCTCCGCGCCGGGCACCCGGAGGGCCGCCCCCCGAAGCCTCAGCTGCCTCTCGGACCTGGACGGTGGTGTCTCAGCCCCAGAGCCGCGGGCCTGTCGGCCCCCTGGAAGCCCTGGCCGCGCGCCACCACTTGCGCCGGCGCCATCGGGCTGCGACCCCCGCCTGCGGCCCATCATCTTGCGACGGGCACGCTCCCTGCCCAGCTCCCCCGAGCGCCGCCAGAAGGCCGGGGGCACGGCGGGCGCAGCATGTCGGCCCGGCTGCAGCCGGCAGCTCCGCGTGCGCTTCGCCGACGCGCTGGGCCTGGAGCTGGCGCAGGTCAAGGTGTTCAACGCTGGCGAAGACCCAGCCGTGCCGCTGCACGTGCTGTCGCGCCTCGCCATCAACTCGGACCTGTGCTGCAGCAGCCAGGACTTGGAGTTCACGATGCAGTGTCTGGTACCCGACTTCCCGCCACCCATCGAATCGGCCGACTTTGGTGAGCGCCTGCAGCGGCAGCTTGTGTGCCTGGAGCGTGTCACCTGCTCCGACCTGGGCATCACCGGCACGGTGCGCGTGCGCAACGTGGCCTTCGAGAAGCAGGTGGCAGTGCGCTACACCTTCACGGGCTGGCGCAGCACACTCGAGGCGGTGGCGCGGTGGCGCGGGCCTGCGGGCGCCGAGGGCACGGAGGACGTTTTCACCTTCGGCTTCCCGGTGCCGCCCTTTCTGCTGCAGCTCGGCTCGCTCGTGCAATTCGCCCTGCGCTACCGCGTGGCCGGCGCCGAGTACTGGGACAACAACGACGGTCACAACTACAGCCTCGCCTGTCGCAACCACGCGCTGCACATGCCGCGCGGGGAGTGTGAGGAGAGCTGGATCCACTTCATCTGAGCCCGCGGAGCCTGGAGTCTGGAGCTGCGCACCCAAGCTGCGGTGCTTCCTGGCGCTGGACGCCCACCTCTAGGCCGCTGCGCTCCCATACCTCTCCCCGTAGGCTGTTTGACCTTTCGTGCTGAACCGGGAGGCCACCAGTCTTCTACTTGAAATGTGTATGCTGTTCTAAAATGTAGCCTGTGGGGCATGGGGGGGGGTGGGGCAAGGTGTATAACGTGTTGCTAAGCATGACAGTCAGGACCCCCCGGGGAGGGCAGCTCTCCCGGCCTCCTGCTCGGAAGGCCTGGCGCATGTGTGTCCGTTAACGTAGGTGTTACTACCGTGATGCTGCGACCACTCGCCCGAGGTGAATGTCTTCTCAGGAATACTCGGGATTTGCTAAGGTCTGTTTCTTAAACCTTGTCCCATTTGTGCTGGTGCCCCTTGTAGTGCGCTGTACGTGCAGTGCCCTCGAGGCATGCCTGCCCAGGGACAAGAAGAACCCGAGACCCCGTTTGCTTGCCAATGCCTGTAGCCTTCTAACAGTGGGAAACTATTAATAGGCAGGAAAAATGTGTGTCTCATCAGTCAGCGCGCAAGCCAGAGGCTGTGAGCCCTGGGATCGGCACGGCCCGGTCTGCCGCACGGCTGCCACGCATTTAGCAATTACGCATCTGCATATTGCCAGGCCACTCTGTGTAGGTCGGAAACTACCCAAACATTCTCCGAAACACTGCCTTAAGTAGTTGGGGTTTTCACTGCCTACAGGATTTCAGGCAACACTGTTCTTTGAAATCACATTTCTGGTGACCAAAGGGACTCTAGTCCTTAAGCATCGACAGATCCTGATGTTCAGCTTTCGGAAGTCCAGCGATTGAGTGCAACTAGAAGGTGCTTTCAGCAATGCCCAGGGCACTGGGGGAAAAACCCAACTGTTCTATTTTATGTGGTTTTAAATCGCATTTATGTGTCAGGTTTTATCAGCTACCTGCCAAGGTAACCCTTTGTGCCTTCACAGAGTTCCTATCTGGCCTTTCCTGGGGTTATTTCCAAGTTTTGAAATATTAAATGTTTAAAAAAAAAAAGCCCCTGCATCCAACAAGCAGGTCATGTTCCCTGCGGAGTGCCAGGGTCACTCAGCACTCCCAGCAGTGGTCTGTTGTTCTCACGGTGCTCTGACGGCAGGGGCAGGGGCTGGGGCGGGGGCGGGGGCTGGGGCTGGGGCAGGGGCTGGGGCGCAGGTGTTCCAGGGAAAAGCTAGTGGACACTCTCTGGTGTGTGGAGTTTGTATTTGAAGTCTCTAGAACCAGTGAGATCAACGTTGTGGCAGCTAACACAGTGAGGTAAGCACATTTTTAAACATCTGTTGAAATGTGTCAAGGCAGTGTTAGAGATAGATGTCGGTCTTTAAACTACTAAGTCAAATGATTTCCACCTGTAAGTTTTGGAGCTTGGAGACCAGGAATGGCTTTCTTTAGGAACTTGTGACCTAATACCGTGTTTTGATTTACAATACTGTGGTTCAATGGCAGATTGGGATCACGCACCACATTGATATGCAAGAGAGAGATGCCCAGTTGCATTTCCTGTGAACAAACTGTCCCAGTAGGGCAGTACTCCAGCGAGGGCCCTGGCTGCCTTGCACTTGGCCGCAGCCCAGGGTGCAAGCAATGGCCCCGAGCGTGCAGCTATGCATTGTAACTGCCAATCGTTTCCTGCTTTGAGGCATGTGGGGGGACGTTATCACCTGTTGTCACTTGCGGGGCGCTCCGGCCATGGACACAAGGCAGCTGTCATACCCTCAATAAGAACCTCAAGGTGCCTTTAAAGACATCAACGCCTTGTGAGATCTGGAAGCGTAACTGCCCTGCCTGCTTGGTGAGGAAGCTGTGGGACGCTGGAGCCTTCAGACCCTGAGACAGTGACGCTGCTCAACTGTGAACATCCTGTGGTGGATTGTGCAGTTGCTGGATTGTCTCGAAGTATTAAAGTGTGTGTGCACCAGGAGCTGTGGGTGTGTGTGCTTCGTGTGGTCCAGCCACAGAGGGCGAAAACTTCCTGCTTAAATCACTACCCGGCTTCAGAAGGCACTGGCAGAAACAGGGCCTGCTTAAAGCACACGGTGATGCCACCTCGCTTCAGGAGCGGGGTTGTGTCTGTGTGTGTCTCACATCAGGTCAGCGTGACGGCTGAGAACAGCTGTGGAGGCTCCTCACAGCAACAGTCGGGTTTCTCGTAGTGCTGTCGACATGGGGGTGGGATGAGGGGTCTGCTTACCATCCCCCCAGGCTGTGACCCTCATCAAAATCTATCATGTAGGGCAGAAGAAAGTTAACACTTCCTGTGACTCCTTGGTTGGCCAGTGGGCGGGGTGCTTTGTATGTCTGATTTCATGTATTGTGAAAGAGGCTGCCTGGCACATGGTAGTCCTGGTTACTTGGCTGAAGGTCCTTAGCTGCTGAGGCTATGCATCCAGACCCACCGTCAGGTTCTGCAGGGTGGTACTGCCCGGAGCCTGTTCCCACAGCGCCAGCCCGCTGGGTGGTGTGGCCGGGAGCTTCCAGGTTCTTCCAGGAAATGCTGCTGAAATTTAATCCAAAGCCAACTTTTTATTAAAATTGATACGAATTTCCCCCATCAAGCTCCATGAATTAAAACCTTATAAAGGGCTTGGCGCAACAGTGTATTAAGGTCCTCACCTTGAACACGTTGGAATGCCATATAGGCACCGGTTCTAATTCCGGCAGCTCCGCTTCCCATCCAGCTCCCTGCTTGTGGCCTGGGAAAGCAGTTGTGGTCGGCCCAAAGCCTTGAGACCCTGCACCCATGTGGGAGACCCGGAAAGAAGTTCCTGGCTCCTGGGTTCGACTGGCACAGCACCGGCCACTGCGCTCACTTGGGGAGTGAATCATCGGATGGAAGATCTTCCTCTCTGTCTCTCCTCCTCCCTGTACATCTGCCTTTCCAATAAAAATAAATAAATCTTTGAGAAAAAAAATAAGGTTATAGGGACAAATAAGGTTCAGATGAGTGATCCTTGCTCTGCCATGTTGTAGGCTGTACTGTTTGCTGAGGAATCCCAGGCCTTCTGGACACAGGACATACTACAGCTACATGCAAAGAGGAACTGTTGCTCTCAGTGTTGAAATCCATTGGTGAAATGCAGTGTATTCACAGCTTCGGGCTCACCCAAGGTAAGGGTGGAAGCGCTATGTGAGAAGGATCCACATTGTTCATGAAACCGCCGCAAACACCTGCCCATCATCAACAGGCACTGTAAGAACCCGAGACGCCTTGGGATATGTACAAGCTCCAAATCCTGAGTAACAGACCAGCGAGGCGCTAGAGAGCTGGCGTGTGTGTGTGCGTGTGCGTGTGTGTGCGTGCGTTGTGTGCGTGTGTGTGTGCGTGTGTGTGTGTGCGTGTGTGTGTGTGGCAGAGAATCCTATGTCTACCTTCCAATGGCCACGACAGTTGGGCTCAGAGCCAGAAGCCAAAAACTCCACCTGGGTCTTCCTGCAGGGCGGCAGCCCAGGCGCCTGGGCCATCTTCCCGTCATTAGCAGGGAGCTGCATGGGAAGCGGAATGGCCAGGCCTGGATTCAGTGTTCTGATACCGGCTGCCAGCGTCACACCCGCCAGTAACTCCGGGTGCCACATGCTGGCCCCCAGAAGTTTGCAATTCTAGGGCAGCAGAATATTAAAACCACCGTTGACCCTTTGCATTATTCCATTGTGTGATGTGGTCTGGTCCTGACACCCTGGCAGCTACGGCGGCCGCTCGCCCACCCCACGGCCTGAAGGCCGGACACGCTGGTGGCAGTACCCTACGAGCGATGCCCAGGAAGCCAGGCTCCGCCCGCGGCGCCCGCCTGTCCCCCCGCCCGTGTCCCGGCGGCGTCTCCGCTTTGTGCCCGGCTCGCCCAGGGCAGCGTCGGGGCCAGGCCTCGGCGGGCGCAGCTCGCCCCTCGCCCACGCCCTCACCCACGCCCTCGCCCCTCACCCACGCCCCTACCCACGCCCTCGCCCCTCACCCACGCCCCTCACCCTCGCCCTCGCCCCTCACTCCGCCCCGCCCTCCTCAGGCCTCGTGCGGGGGCGGGCCCCAGCCGGCGGGCGGCACCGATTGGATGCACTGCCAAGCGAGCGCGGCGCTGATTGGACAGCCGTTGCGGCCGGGCGGCGTGAAAAGCCCGCGCGTTGCGTGAGGCTCGGGCGCTCGACGGCCGGCGGCGGGGCACGCTGAGGGGCGCGGCGGGGCCGGCGCTTCCGGGCCCAGGTAGACGCGGGGGCCGGGGTCGTGCGGGGAGGCGCGGGGCGAGGCCGGGCCGGGTCGTGCGGGGCGAGGCCGGGGGGCGCGGGGAGGCGCCGGGCCGCCGCGGCTGAGGTGAAGGCCGGCCCGGGGCGTCGCGTCAGGGTGGGCCGCGGGCGTCAGGGTGGGCCCGGCCCGGGCGGCGGGCGGCGGGCGGCGGGCGGCGGTTGGCGGTTGGCGAGCTCCGGGCCGGCTGGCGTCGGGCGCCGAGCGGCCTGCTTGGGGGGCGCCGGGCGGCCCCGTGGCTACCCGCGTGTGCGCCCCGCGGGCGGCCCAGGCTCGCGGCCGGACCTCAGGGAGCGCGGCCCGTGGGTCCTCGAGGAAAGGGCAAATGGACGCCGACTCTCACGTGATTATGGCTCTCTTCAGAAAACCCGTGGTTCCAATCAAGATTTTTATTTAATATGGAGAATCTAGGGATTCAAAGTTTTACGTAAGATTTAAGAAAGTTGAGCAGTTTTTCACCAAAAAATATGAAAGTATGTGTTTATAGTTATGTGAGAAGTTTGTAATTGTGAACTTGAGAGCTAGCTGCCAGGCAGTTGCGCGCTGGCCAGCAGCCGGGATGGAGACCAGGCCGGGGTGGCCGTTGGCAGCGCCTCCTCGTGCTGCTGACCGGTGCCACCTGCGGCCGCGCCTTCACCCGCGCACCTGGCACGGCCCGCCCGCCCGAGCGCTTCGCTGATTGATTGATAATCTTAGGTGGTTGATTAGGGCTGCAGGGAAGCGGGTGAGACTGTTGTTTCTGTTATTATTATTACTTCTGTATCTGGGGTACAGGGAGAGATAAAGGGAGAAGCCCCCCAGCCCCCCACCCAGCCCGGGTCCCCGATTGCGGCCTGCGCCCAGGGCACTGCTCAGGCTTGATAGTTTATCAGTCCTGAATGGCTGCCAGTCTCGCCATCCCAAGCACAATGAAATCTCTCCAGAATCCACTGGCTGACACAGTTCACCTCGGAGTCTCCGTACGCCCAGATTTTCGCAGATGATTGATTTGTTCTGTCCTCTGTCCTCTGTTGTGATACCAGGCGTCCTCAGAGGAGGCTCAGCCTTGACACATGCACTCCATGGTCAGTCCGTAGAACCTGCACTTCTCTTCATGGTTGGGGCTCTGAGAGCAGCAGTTCAGTTGGAGGAATCCCAAAGAAACTTTGTCTGAGGTGATCCCATACCTGATTCGTGGGTGTGTGTGACAGTTCGTGGTGCCAATTTTTTTTTTTTTTTTAACGTGAGATTTGTAATACAAAGTAAACAGTAGTGCCTGTCTTCCCCGGAAACCTTTCCTGGGCCCGGTGTGTGAATTATTCTCATACAAGACTTGTTAGGGGAGCACTGAATACTGGGTGCTGAGAAGCTAGATGTGCTCCGTCCTAGTACAGGGTGAGGGCCCCTGTGCAGACCCCGAGCCCTGCCCCACGGTGGCGGGTACACAGGAGCGCCCTGCCTCGGGGTGGTGGGGTACAGAGGAGCGCTCTGCCCCAGGGTGGCGGGTACACAGGAGCGCCCTGCCTCGGGGTGATGGGGTACAGAGGAGCGCTCTGCCCCAGGGTGGCGGGTACACAGGAGCGCCCTGCCTCGGGGTGATGGGGTACACAGGAGCGCCCTGCCTCGGGGTGATGGGGTACACAGGAGCGCTCTGCCCCAGGGTGGTGGGGTACAGAAGATGCCCTGTCCCAGGGTGGCGATGAAGGAGAGCTGCACTCTGGGCTGGGTTTTATGGGTGTTAATCCATCCCCAGACATACTTACCTAGAATAAGTTTGTAAATTTGTTACAATAACAATATCACATATTCCCTTTTTACTTTTGACTTTGTCCAAAGTGTGAACCTAGAAGTGGAATTACTCTATGATTTTACTAGTTTTACTAGTTACTTCTAACTGGAAGGAGAAGCTGGTTTGGTACTTGCCATGTGCTTTGAGGCTGGGTGGTGGCAGGCTGTGTGCTCGGTGCCTCTCTAGGCATGTCGGTTATTGTATTTAGTGTTTGTGTGGGGGCAACATCCACTCCTTACTAGTCAGCTGTTTCATTTACGAATGAATTGTTAGGTTTTTGTTGGATAATTTATTCTCCTTCATTTATAATTTCTTAGCATTCATGCTAATCTTTAATCTGTTGTAATAGACAAAAAATGTACACAGGTTCGATTCCATTACTTTTATGCTTTGTGCTTAAAAAACTGTTAATTTAAAAGGCAGAGTTGGATATTCTGGATATGCTGGTTCACTGCCCAGATGGCTGGAATGACCAGGGCCGGGTCAGGCCTGGAGCTGCTTCTTGGTCTCCCATGTGGGCTGCGTGGGCCACACACTTGAGCTGTCTTCAGCGTTTCCAAGTTCATTAGCGGGGGCAGGTTTGGAGGTGGAGCAGCTAGAATCTGAACTGCCACACATGGGCTGCCCGCACCGCAGGCGGTGACTGCTCCGTGCCAGGCGTGGACTGCCCGCACCGCAGGCGGTGACTGCTCCATGCCAGGCGTGGGCTGCCCGCACCGCAGGCGGTGACTGCTCCATGCCAGGCGTGGGCTGCCCGCACCGCAGGCGGTGACTGCTCCGTGCCAGGCGTGGGCTGCCCGCACCGCAGGCATTGACTGCACTACGGCACAGTGCTGGCCTCCGTGCTTGGTGCTTCTTCATGTCTTCCCTTGCAAGGTCACAGAGAAGTTTCTGGGTTTTTGTTCTCATTTTTGAGCTTTTCCCTTTTACATTTAGTTAGTAGTACCATTTTGAATTTGTTAACAGAAGAGGATAGAAGTCTGATTTTCTTTCATATGATGAGTTAATTTCCTTAATACTATTTGTTGATATCTTTGCCTCATCTGATCTTATATGTACTTTCAAGTGTATATTCTTAGATGTAAAATTATAATCTGTTTTGTTTTACTGATCTATTTTCCATTCTTAATATCTCACTATATATAGTAATGCAACTTTTTAATGTACTAAGTTTGCATATCAAAGGGGATAATTCTTTGAGATTTTTCTGAGTTTTTCAGGTATAACAGCAGTATTATTCATAAAAATTTTAAGTTAACAAAATTGCTTAAAATACTCTTATGATTTTTTAAAAAGAATATTTATTTTTATTGGAAGTCAGATATATAGAGAGGAAGAGAGACAGAGAGAAAGATTTTCCATCTGCTGGTTCACTCCCCGATTGGCTGCCACGGAAGGAGCTGAGCTGATACAAAGTCAGGGGCCAGGAGCCTCTTCTGGGTCTCCCATGTGGGTGCTGGGGCCCGCGCTGCTGGGAGTGACGCGAGTGTCTCAGGCTCCTGAGTTCAGGCATTTGGCTATCAGAGTGTAGAGCTCTCTGTCTCTGCCTTTCGTAGAAAAGTCCCAAAGTAAAAATAAAAGTTATACTTTAAATTGGATTCCTGCCAGATATGTTTTTAAAAATCTGTTTTCAGAGTATTACTGATATAAAGGAACAGCATTGATACTTACGCTGAACCTTGCTGGAGTCTGATATGATAAGCAGCACCCTTTGTCTTTTTAATTTTTATTTTATTTTTTCTAAAGAGTTATTCTTAGTGGAGTGGCAGCTTTACAGAAAGAGACCGAGGGGAAAGGTCTTTCATCTACTGGTTCACTCCACAAATGGCCACAGTGGCCAGAGCTGAGCCTGTCTCAAACCAGGATCCAAGAACCGCCTCCTCTGGGACTCCCATGTGGGTGCAGGTCCCCACAACTTGGGCCATCCTCTGCTGCTTTCCCAGCCACAGGCAGGGGGATGTTCTGGCTGAGGAAAAATGCAGTGATGGAACTGTGGCTTTAACCCTGTGTTGGCTAGGTTAGTGAATTTGAACCTTAGTTTTGGTCTGCTGAATTTGTCAGTACTGAGCTCCAGCATCCTCCCTTGGGCAACACGCGCCTTGAGACAGG